GAGTGCCCTGGGCAAGGCCACTGACTGGCTCCCAACCCCCCAGTCTGCTGCCCAAATCCCCGGGGTCACCCCGCACAATGAAGGGGAACCAGTTTCCATCCTGCATAACAGGGACTTCCATTGACTTCACGGTCCCCACCCCAGAACAAAGAACCTGCCGGGTGTGAACCAGTGGCCCAACCTCATGGGAGCCAAGCAGTGCCCAAAGCTGCCCATGCCCACCGAGAAACAGCACAAACCGGCTCACTTTACACCTGTGTGTTCAGCTGGCAATATGTGCCCACAGGATGCCACTCTGCAGTCCCCAGGGACTCGGACACTGGGCCGACAGCAGCATTTCTGCAGGTGCTCAGCAGCCGCCCTGGTGCATAGGCTGAGGGACACACTGAGAAATAGACCAAGACCCCTGGAGAAAACCAGTGTCCGTGTCCATCCTCGTCCCTTCGCCTGGGAATCCTTGCCCTCCTTCCTCCCCGAGACCTGCCACAGCACCAACCTTCCCTCTGCTGCTGGCTTCCAGGCTTGGGAAAGGTGACACAAAGGGTGGACCCTCGCTGAAGTCCAGTCCTCAGTCCTGCAGCAGTGCCCAGAGCAGGAGTGATCCACAAAGGGGCAGTCATTCGCTCTGCCTGGAGCCCTTGCCTGAGCAAACACCAAATGACCCCCCGCCCCCAGGCTGGAGCAAGGGAACTGGTCCCAGGAAGTAGCCCCATGAGCTGACCCAAGCCTCACTGGTCCTCCTCCAGGGGCAGGATACATGGACTTCGAACATTCTGCCCAAGACCAACCTGTTTGCTAGGCCATGCCAGGACTTGCACCAAGCCACCACCATCATAGCTTCCACCTCAGTTCCTGCCCAGGAGGCTCTGCCAAGCACCAAGCCCGGGGCAAACATCTGGTCCCAGCCGGTTCCTGTAGCCAACATGACTGGGGGCTGCCGCTGGGCCAGGGTCTCCCCAACCCACCATTGCCACCAGACACCTAAGTGGGGGATTGGGCAGGGGGTGCCGGGGGTACCATGCATAGCTTGACAGCCTACACCCACACAAGCTTCACGCAGACAAAAGTGCAGCACATCTGGGGTCTTGACAGTTCCACCACAGTCCCAGGTTTCTAGCACCCTGCCACCTCCACATTCAGTGCGATACTTTCCCCTGTAACTCATCTCCCTCCAGAATGGTGGCCAGATAACTGCCTTGCACAGGCAGGAACGCCTGCTCCCAGCCCTCTGCAGGTGCTTTCGGAGGTGTGCAAGGTCCAGCCTGGGACTCCCAGCAAGGGGTTTAAGGCCTTCAGACACTACAGGGCAGGGGAGACAAAGAGGTGTTATGCTCTCCGCCTTGGCTGACACTTTTTGCCTCTTTGTCCCATTCCATGAAGGGGGCGGGTGGAGCATGAACTTGGCAAGTTCTTGGTCCTGGTGAGCAAAACACCTGCCACTGCTCCGGGGCTCTCCCAAGGACCAGGTCAGAAAAGCCTGTGTGGGGCACTTGGAGGTGGCAGTCATGGGCCACCCAGAACCATGTCAGGCTTCCACTCCCATTAGCTGAGCCCGGGCAGTCCCACACACCCAGGAACGGCGCAGCCAGGGACACCCGCTCACCAGCATGAGGGCTTTGGCTCACCTGCTTTCACTGGATGGGACAGTGGGGGCAGAGAGAGGAGAGAGGACCCAAGACTGAACGTGAAAGAACAAGCGGAGCAGGAAAGGACCTGCAAAGAGAAACGAGCAGGCTAGCCTGACCCTGGCAGCCCGGCCTTGCAGAGGGGCACACAGGATTCTCTACTTTCTTCCATGACTCTCCTCAGACCACCTGCAGCTGGGGCTGTGTCACCTGATGGTCAGGCCAGGGGGCACCCACTGTTGAACAAGGAGGTGTCCTCACTCTACAACCCAAAAATGGCCCACAAAACACTCCTGGGTGTTCCCAGCTGACCTGCAGGGAAACCTGCAGGCGACCTCACCCATCTGGTGCCAAGCCAAGGACACCAGAGTCAGCTAAGCTTAGGGCTGATTTGATACACACTGGTGACCATTTCAGGAACAAAGTGAAAGCTCCCCAGAAGGCAGCAGGCCCAGCGAGAAAGCAGTCCTGCCTGCCCAGCTCCTCTGCTGCTGGCTCACCCCTGAGCAGACTGAGACAAGGAAACAGCTCGCACACAATCAGCGTGGAGCCGTACAGGTGCAAGCCTTAGGCATCCAGCATGCAGGCACTGCAGGCGGTGGCTTCTCTCTCTCTCCACTCGTCTAGAACTCTACCTTTCAAGTAAATCAAATAAATCTCTCCAAGAAAAACAATAAGTATAAGAAACATTTTTAAAAATAAATCATATCAATCTAGCTCTCCCCTCCCCTCCAGATGGTTTGTCTTCCTGGAAATACACACCTGTCATTTCCATACAATGTTCCCAGATGAGCAAACCCAGACACAGTCTCCTTGCTCCCTTCCGCCCTGTTCCGAGCCTTCTTTATTGCCCTGCAGCCTGCCTGAGCCATCATCTCACAGTTGGTTCTGGAGATCTGTCTTCCCTGTTCTCAGCCACGTCTCGGGGCCGCAGGTAACTCACTGGGGCCAGTCCTGAGAACCTGTGCTTTTCACTATGTGAATGGGCCTCGGGGTGACACAAAGGCCTTGTTCATGGGTTCGTTCCGGGATGCCTGTGGAGTGAGCATCGTGTACCTGGGTTTAGCGAGGCTCATCAAGCAAAGGATTCGTGCCAGTGAAAAACCACATAGTAGGCCGGCACGAGGGAAGGCACGCAGGAAGCAGGAAGACTCATCATTGATAGGCCCGCCTGACACACTCAACAGTACTCGTTTCCCACCCCCAGCCCTGTCCCCCCAAGTTGTCTCTATATCTCAGAGAAGCTTCTAGCAACTCAGGGTCATCTCACCAGAAAGGCACACACATCACACCGCTCCCTGACTTCATATACCCTCCTGGAGCTCCCGCCACTGCGGGCACAAGACCTTGGGGGATCTCACCCTCCTATCCCAGCTGCAAGGACCCTTTCTGAGAACTTTGATGGGTGCTCTTCTCTTCCAAGCATCCTCTCTGCCCAAGGGCCTTAGCCTCAAGCCACTTGCTCCGGAAGGCCAGCTTCTCTTGAAGGTAGATCTCTATCATGGTTGATCCTGGCACCCCTGAAGCATAAACAGCATGGATTACATCCTTGTTTGTCTGCTTCACTGCACCCAGGTGAAGCACTGTGCTGATTCAGTCACCACCACATCCTTGTGGAGAACACCAAGGCTGGAACAAAGCTCGGGTGCACAGCTATTACCGGAAGCAGTCAATGCCCATTAGGGAAGGAGGTGGATGCAAACTGGGCATGGAGAAACCTGGACCGTGAAGCAGCCCAGCAAAGTCTCAGCCAGCCAGGCAGGCTCGCCCACCCAACTGGACCACTCGGTGCTGAAAAGTCTGGACATCCATGTCATCCTCTTGTTGGGTCCTGGGAAGCATGTGACCTTGGGCAAAGCAATTCTCTGCAGCTGAGGCAGACCCGGACGTGACTGGCAGAGGGAGATCATTCAGTGACCACAGTCCTCCCAAGGTCTCCAAGCCATGCCTCTCCATGTCCACCCTAGTTTCCCATCACAGCACAGTGCCTGGCACACACGCAGTAGGCACTCAGCATTGATTGAGTGAGTGGGTGGTTGGATGGATGACTGAATGGATGGTTGACTGAGCTTTGAAATACAAATAGGATTGGGAAAACTGCACATGGCAGGAAATTCTAGGCATAAGGCTTAACTCATGCAAAGGTAAAAGGAAAATCATGGGAGGAAAAGCCTGATATGTTACTGAATCCGTAAGTGGTAAGAACCAGTCAGTCACCGTGTAAGGGAGCCAAGAAGCGAAGAGCATTGGCCAAAGGGACAGAGCCTGGTAAACTGCACCTGAATTATTTTGTCCTGCTAGACAAAGGATCCTTTGACCGGGTTTCAAGGAGGAGAACGACATGATCAGTGGGGTTTGGAAAGACTGTTCTGACGGCCTTTCCCAGACCATCGAAGGGGAGCAAATTGGGAGGCCGAGAAGCCACGCAGGAGCCGACGCCACAAGGCCAAGCCAGGTGTCAGAAGCCCAGCTGTTGAGAAAGATGGAAACCACAAGACGTGACCGAGGGAGGCAAGAGCGAGGCTGAGGTCGGAGCCTGGGAACCACCAACACTTCAGAGCAGTCAGAGAATAAACATCTGAAGAGAACAAGAAGGAATGAACCAGGAGGGAAAACAGGAAAGGACAGAGCCGTGGGAAAGAGGGGAGAGAACCGTGCAAAGAAGGAAATGGTCAAGAGGGTCAAGGCCATTAGGGGGTCAAGCGCGATAAGAACTGCAGGTGCCCATCGAGTAGGGCCCAGCTGGCGGGCACTTCTGGAATGGAACAGACCCAGCCTGGGCAGGCCATTAACCCTGCCAAGTTCGGAGTCTGGGTCTCTGCTGAGGGTTCTGAAGAAGTCCTTTCTCTGCTCACAAGTTCTGGTCAGAGTCTCCTCCAAGTCTGACCACGGCACTGCTCTGACCCTAGTGACCTTCCTGGCCCAAGGTCCAACCACTTTCCTTGGAGGAGAGCAACAGGGGAGCCCAGTGTAATATGAGGGTCCTGTGTCCCCCTTCTGTGTCTGCCACTTGGGCTTCACTTTCTCCTGTGGTGATGGAACCAATGCCTGCCTCTGTTCATCTAAATCACCTTGATGCCTATCTTCAAAGAGAAGACCCAGGTGGCCAGGTCACAATGCCCTCTGACTTGAGCTGCTCTCACCACCTCCACACGAGACTCTGGGCTCCCCATCCCCCAGAGACCATTGTCTGGGTTCAGTTTCAAAAGGTACAGAAACTGGTTCCCAAAAAAGGGAATATTTACTTATTCTGCCAAGTCAGTGCCCAAGTAAATAGTGTGGTTCCCTGAGTGGAGCCCAGCCCCTGCTCTCTTCTCTCTCTAGGTGCTGCCTGCAGGATATAAAAAGGCTCCTGAAGGGACATCTCACACAGAACACCAGATCCAGAGACCACCCAGAACCTGCCCTTTCTGCACCATGAAGCTTGCCATCACCTTCGTGCTGGCCATGCTGGCTCTCTACTGCAGTCCTGGTGAGTGTCCAGCATCCCTTGCCCCCAGGGAGCTCTCTTGGCCGCCAGTTCTTTGGGCTCACCCCTCTCTAGCTTCTGGCAGACACAAATCAGAAAAGGGGTCTGGTGAGCAATCCCATCTGGGGGACTTGGGGAGAACCCTGAGGCTGTTAGGAAACTAGGAGGGATACCATCTTTTCCAACAACCTGAGAATTCCAGGGAACAGGCTGGGGGGAGGGAGCAGACCCCTGCAGGAGGAGCAGGTGCACCTGCAAGTGGGGGAAGAACACAGGATCTGTCAACGCACAGACTCCAGGATGCCTGGGACCTTCGGAGCCTCCACCTCATCTGGCAGCTCAAGGAGGGCTGCAGAGACACACACACCCCAAAAGAAACCCAAACCAAGGCACAGCTTCCCAGTCTGGGGTTATAGCACAGTTCCAGAGAGGGCTCTTCCTCTTGGGCTGGTGCCAACCCAGCGGGCAGAGTTCGAGCCAACTTTGTACTCGTGATTCCAAGCTGTTGCCACTGTGGCCAAGAGAGAAGGGATAGAAGCAAGCAAGCAGGAAGGGAGGGAGGGGGCTAACTCCTCCCTCCATATGCCCTGTGGTTTGAGAATTAAGTCACCTAACTGTGCCTCACTCCGCCTCAGCCTCTCCCACTCCCATCTGAAAATGCTGTTGCTGTAGTTGTTGTTTTCATAAACAATCACCAGCGGAAAGTTTCACACAACTCCTTGATGTGGGTTTGACGGCCCTTTGGGGGTTAGAAAATGCGAACCAAAAGGGAGTGGAACAATGGGCTGGCAGAGAGCACCATTCATTTCTCAGGGGACGTGACATCATGTGTGTGCTGAAATGCATGAATTGGAAGATCTGGGTACTGCGTAGAGGGGTGGGGACTCAGGAAAACAGGACTGAACTACTTGAAGGGTGTGAACTGGGAACACACCACCCATTCATACACTTTCGTGTGCACACGATGGAGAACATCTATTCTTAACCTGTCTACACACGCCTCTTCTCTTTCTTACAACTCTACGAAGAAGAAATATTGTGCCCATTTCATAGATGACAAAGCTGAGCTTCTTAGTACTTGATAAGGTAAAGCGACTCCCGAGGGTGCAGGAAGTTGCGGAGCAGGGATCTGAGCTCTGGATGGAGTGTGACTTGGAGTGGCCACCTTGGGAAGACCTTATGTCCATGCTCAAAGCAGAGAATTCAAGCACAGAGATTCTGAGACTCTGGCAAGATGCAGGCAGACAGAGGTAGGGAGTAGTGAGATTCCCCACACCCTAAAAAGGGGTACAAGGCTCCAAAAAGAATGGCAGCCTGGGGAATACTCAGTTATGGTGACAGTGGCACAAGAGGCTGGTCCTGGTCAAGCTGAGCAAACTACAAGGTCCACCACTGCCACATACAAACCTCTCCCAGGCCAAGTGGGAAGGCCCATGCTGGGCTAGGGCCAGGCCCAGGCCTCAGGGACAGGTGGCCTTGACTACGCTGACCACAGATGACAGCCGAGGTCCCAGTAGGAACCACCGTTCCCAGTGAACTCTTCCCAGCCCCCAGGCTGCTTTAAAAATCAGCTCAGCAGCTTCTGTGAGCCACACTCTGCCCCCCAGAACATGAGTGGAAAGAACAAACGACCCTGGCCACACGCCAGCCCAGGAAGTCCAGGGAAGGCTCAGGCCAGGCACAGAAGGCCGGAGCTGCAGCTGCTGCATCCACGGGGAGGCTGCCGCATCCCAGGGAGGCTGCTGCAGCCTCAGGCCGTGCGCATCAGCGCTGTGTGCTCTTTCTGTTCTGTGCTCCAGCATCTGCAGGCAACATCTGCCCAGCCTTCGCCCACGTCATTGAGAGCCTCCTCTTGGGCGTGACCTCCGACTACGAGACGTCCCTGAAGCCCTTCAACCTTGAAGACAGCTTGAAGGACTCAGGGATGCAGATGAAGAAAGTGCTGGACACCTTACCCCAGAAGACCAGAGAGGACATCATGAGGCTCACGGTAACCAGCGCCCCTTGGCAGCAGTCTCATCCCGCTAGGCGCCCTAATCCCTGGACCAGAGAAACCAGTGTCCCAGCCTTGCCCACAGGCATGGCCACCTCAGCTCCAGGCACTTCCCTCAGCCACTTTTCAAATGGCTTTTTCAGAAAAGCAAGCCCTACCATGCGCCCCGCCCACCATTGTTTCTCTCAGTCCCCTAGACCAGGGAAGGTGGTGAACTTTCCATCTCACCCAGAGCCTCACCTCACTCTGTATCATGCTGGGTTTCTGTCTGTTTCTCGTTTTAGGAGAAGATCGTAAATAGCCCACAGTGCGCTTAGGATGGGAGAACCCCAGGCGGACGCCCTCCACCTGCCAAAGCCCCTTGCCCCAGCCCACACCCCCTTGATCCTTCTCCTTCCCCCAGCCAGTCCCTGTGTCCTTCAATAAACTACAAGCATGTCACATCAGTGGTCCTGACCTTTCTATACCTGCTATTCAAGCAGCTCTGCACCTTCTGGGCAGGGTGGCCAGGACCCACAGCAGGCAGCTGAGCCCTGCCCTACAACCCCAGGAGACATCTCTGCCCCCTCCCAAAGCTCTTTTCTCTAGATTTCTGACATTTGTCACCAAAACACCTCCCCTTTCATCGCCACCCCCTCCTAATCTGGTCCTAGTCCCGGGGAAGCTGTAGGTCCATCCCCCAGTTGGGGCAGGTGCGTGCGAACCACCCCTGACTCTTCCACTTTCAGTGTGTCTACAGGGCCTTTGGCAAGCTCCCTCCAAGGGCACAGGTCAAACAGCCAGTCCCTGCCTGCTCACGCCAGGGGAACCCCGAAAGTGTCTTCCCCACACACCTGGCCCAGTGCAACTCCCTTGAGCTGCACACTCCACCCTGTATAGCTTCTGGTCCTTTCAGTACAAAAAGTCAACACTCTGCAGGCCAGTGTTGTGACGCAGCCGGTTAAACCAGCGCCTGCAATGCCAGTCCCCTGAACCAGAGGGCACCCGCGTTCCCCATCCCACTTCAGGGCCTTGGCACCGACCGCTCAGTATCCGTGGCCCAAAAAAGAATACAACCTGTTCTAAACAGCTGATCCCTATCGATATTAAAAATCAAATCCACACATCCCTGCGCCGGACTCGCACGCCCGCAGCAGCGGGGCACCCACGCGGGACCGCAGGGCAGGAAGGAGGCCGCGCAGGCCCCTCACGCCACGTGGGCGGCGTGGCCGCGTCCCGCGCTTGGCGGCCGCGAGGGGGCAGCACCGGCCACGCCGCCCGGGGGCGCGCGCCTCGCCTCAGGCCGCCGCCCTGTGGGGACCGCCAGCCGCTGGAAAGCCTAGACCGGGGACCTTGTGTCAGCCATAGGAGCTTTGAATTTTATTTTTAAGGAATTCGAATTCTCTGGAAAAACAGGGGCGGTGTGGCAGGCGGGTTGGAATTTGCCTTGATTCCAGAATGTTCCCAGAGGGGAGCTGGCGGGGCCGACTTATGACCTCTCCCTGCAGGGTTTGTGCAGTCCCCAAGCAGAAACCACAGCCTGAGAGCCTCTATCGATGGCTAGCTCACAGGCCGGCGTGTGCCCAAGTTCTCCTTCATCTGCCGTGCATACAAGCAAGGGTTGCAGAGCGCAGGGCGTGGAGTCCTCAGCGCAGGACCCTTGGGCCAGTGAACCAAGTGACCCTGCTGGGAACAGCCACACGGGCTGTGCACACAGACTGTAAACCGCCGCGCCCTCGCGCCATTGTCTGCGCCCAGGAAGGACAGGGACAGTAAAAATTCCAGGGCGGGTGGAGGAGGGGGCGTTGGCAAAGCCGGAGGAGGTTCTCCACCGCAGGTGCGGCCCTAACTCCCACGCACTCACCCCGCCCTTCCATCCAGGTCATCATTAGCGCGTAGACCTTGGCCTCTGCTGGTCTGTGTCCACCTAGGTGAGCATGACGCTCTGCCAGATAAGGATCCAAGGCCATAAAAGGTTCAGAATTTTAATGACACGTTCCCAGCCTGCGAGGGCAGATGCAAGGCAGGTATCTGAGGATGGAACGGAATGCAATTAGACTTGCTTGCAGGGGGCTGGAGATGGCCTCAGGGACGTGCCTGCTGTCAGCTGGCCGAGGCAGCACGGGAGGCTGGGAAGGGCCGAATCTATTGCACAAAGGGCGGGCAGCAGGGCCAGCGTGGACGAAAACCAGGAGGAAACGGCCGTTCTTCTGGGGCTCTTTTTGTCTGCGTTGCAGTTACACAGCGTCAAGCACCCAGCAGGCAAGGCACAGTCCGCAGGCAGCCCAGTTTCTGCAGAAACCTCATGCTTGGCTCACAATATTTGGGGAAGAGGAGCTTAGCATGCAATGCAGGCTTCCATAGGAGCATCTGTGTGAATCCTGGCTGTTCCACTTCCCATCCAGCTCCCTGCCAGTGTGCCTAGGAAAACAAGATGGCCCAGGTTCTTAAGCACCAGCCACCCATGTGGGCAGCCCAGATGGAGTTCCAAGCTTCTACCGGACCTGGGCTCTGACCACTACAGTTATTTGGAGAGTGAATCAGTGCATGACAAATTCTGTTACTCTACCTTTCAAATAATTAAGCAAATGTTTAAAAAAAAAAAAAGAAAAATGGGAAAAAGAGGAGATAAAATGTCCACCCATGTATTAGATTTTATCGCATAAAATATGTAAATATGTTACTATTTGTACATGACCAGCCAGAGTCATTTGACATCGCTCTGCCGATTTCAAAAATACGAAGATGGACATCAGCTTCCTGTGGTGCAGAGATCTTCAGCACAAACAGAATGAAGAAAAATCTAAAATTGTTTTTGCACAAAGATTTAAAAAAATAAGAACTGTGTTTCTAGCACTCAACCCGCTCTCGCCTTCCTACATCGGTGGAGTTCGGGAAGAACAGACGATGCTCCTTCGTCACAAGGTCAAGGCAATTCAATCTGGGTGAAAACTGTTTTTGAGAGGTGTCTGTTACCCTCACCACCCACACGCAAAGGGGGTTCACTCCTGTAGGAAGCTGAGGAGGGAGGGAAGTCACGGAGTCCTGCCCAGACCCCAAGGCTGCCCCCCCACCCCACAAGCCCCTGCCTCCACCCCGCCCGGGTCCGTGGAGCCTGGGGGAGCTGCAGTGTGAGACACGAGATGGCCTAGGCTGGCCTGGCCTGGCAGCAGATCGATGTATGACTCACAAGACAGGAAGAGGAAACAAAACCAGCCCTTGCCAACTTTATCAAGATGAGGCAGTCACAGTTGCCTCGCGTTTATAGCTGATGCAAGGAGTGCTTGCTGTTTGTGAATAACAAGGGGTTTGTGGGTAGTAATTCAGCCACAGGCCCACGGCTGCTGGAAATGGCTTTGGCGAGCTGATAAGGAGGCTTGTGGACCATGATGGAACCACAGAGACGGTGCATTCCAAAGTGTGCAATTAAGGCCTGTTTCTCCTCAGCGCCTGCAGAATGCACCGACAGCCCCAGGGGAGTAATGTGAGGTGAGTCATCACCATGAGCCACCCAGCGCATTTCCATGAACAAGCTCCAGTTACAAAACCAGGGCCCATACCAAAAAAAAAAAATCCTGACAATAGATTCAGCTAAGCCAGCGTGGTTTCCAGTTCCGGAATTGACAAGCCAGGGGGTTCAGATCTGTGCCCCTTTCTAGGGCGTGGATCCCTAGCCAGTTGTGAAAGTCCAATTAACTCATAAGATGCCTGCAGTTATGAACTCATGGTACCCAGTCATTCTGAGTAACCATGAAGCACACAGCTCCTCGGGTTCTCTTGGTTTTCCTCGTGCCTTCCCGTCCCAGAAGTAGACACCCCATAGTTCGAGGGCAGAGTGGAGGGCTGGTCAGGGGCTCCCAGCAGGGGTGGGCGAGGAACAGTGGGCAGGACTGCAGGGAGTTGGACCCTCCTGACCCCAGGCACCCATCAGTCTCCAGTTAGCGTTCCTAGGTTCTGGCTCCTGACTAGCTTTGTGCTGTTGCAGACCCTGGGGGCAGCAGGACACTGATGTGTGTGCCATCCACATGGTGGACTTGGCTTCAGTTCCTGTCTCCTGCCCTGATTCAGGCCTAGCTGCTGCAAGCATTTGGGGGATTAAGAGCTGATAGCTCACTCGTATGTCTCTGTTTCTCTCTGTCCTTCCACCTTTCAAAGACATACCATGTTTAAATCTTTAAAAGAAACCCACACATTTATGATCTCACAGCACTAGAAGCCAGGCGTCCAGGACGGATCTCGCTCAGCCAACGACCAAGGTGTCAGAGGGCTACAGCCCTTCCGGAGGCTCTAGAGAAAGGGCCACCCTCACGACTCGGCTCACAGTCGGTTGGCCATCTTCAAAGCCAGCAGTGCAGCTCTCCACCAGTGTCTCTGACCTCCTCTGCCGCCTCCCGCCTCCACTTGCACGGAGCCCGTGTGATCACACCGGGCCCACTGGAGCCATTCAAAACAGTCGCCCCATCCGAAGAAGGCCAGTGGATTTGCAATCTTCATTTCATCCGCAGCGTCAGTTTATCACACACCTTACACCTTCACTGCTCCCAAGGGTCTCCAAGATGCCAGTCTTGCCTCTCACAATATTCAGCCCATGATCGTCAGGAGAGTTCCATGCCTTGCCTCAACCCCATCCCAGCCACCCTGCCCTGGGGATAAAGTTCAGGCTCCTTGCCCAGCACAAGCCCTGCCTCCCATTCCTGCTGCTTCCCCTTTCTGCCCTTTGCTTTGGGGGTGCGACAGTGGACAGATAAAGCTGACTGATTCGCACAGAGGCACACATACTGGTCACACCTCCACATGGTGGCACATGCAGTTCCAGCTGATGGCAGCCTCTCCCTTCCACAGAGCCCACATTGTGCCAACCTGGGCACCTTGGGCAACCATCTCCTTGGGGCACGTTAAGTTGCATCTATGACCCTCTCTAAATGTGAGACGCACAAAAGCATGGCCCACATTTTTTGTCATCTTGACGGTCATTGCAGAACAATTTGAAAATCCAAGTAACCCCAAGGAGAGCAGGCCATCCAGATGTATATGCCCAACAAATGACTAAGACCCTCATTGGTGAACTTCTGCTCAAAAAAAAAAATCTGAAGCTAATGTAGATGATATGTTTACACACTCCATTCTGCAGGTGCTGCATCTACACCAGATTACAAACACTCAAGGAGGAGCTGCCATCGTGGGGCGGTGGACTCAGCATCCCAGGGGAGCACCAGTTCAAGTCCCAGCTGCTCCACTTCCCATCCAGCTTCCTGCTAAGCTGCCAGGCAAAGCAACAGAAAATAGCCCAGGTTTACAGGCCCTGCACTCACTAGACTCTAAACACTTTTTATTCCACTCTCGACTGCCCAGCAGGACTGTATCAGTTACCAGAGGACCATGAAGACACGACCCTGCCCCCCTCCCAGATATTGCTCTCTGCCAACACATTTGAAAAATTCATGCATTCAGGCAGGAAAT